TATATATATATATAGCATAATCGATTATGCAAGGGCATAATCGATTATGCTTCAACATAATCGATTATGTAAGGTCATAATCGATTATGTATTCTTGCATTATCGATTATGTTTCCTTCGTATATGCTTTTTTCACTGCATGGCACACTATGCATGCATGCGAAAGGGCATTTCTGGGTTTTTATAAATCTTACGTGGCTTTCTTCTCCTTTCTTCGCACAAAAGCGAGGACGCGAATCACGCTTCTTCCTCCTTTTCTTCACCTTTCCGTCGTCGCAAATCACCAGAAACGAACAACAAGTTTCTTCGCCTTTCTTTGCTCATGAATAGTAAATCCCTGGAAACAAACACTACCTAAAAGATGGATTTGAGGGAGTGGAAAAGGAAAAATTTTAAGAGAAAGAGAGTGGAAAGTGATGTTATTTGGATTAAGAAAAAGATAATAAAAAGTGAGTGGAAAGTTTGTGAGAATTTGTGTAGAAATTGATTGATGAAATAAATAAATATTAAAAATTTTATAGATGAATATATAATTTATACTTTTATCTTGGATTAAAAATGAGTAGAATATTATTTATTATAAATAATAATAATTACAATAAAATTATATTAATAGGTATAATTTATTAAAAAAATAATAAATAATGATAATAATAATAAATATTAGAAAAATAATAAGAATTATAATAAATAATAATGATACTAATTATAATAAATAATAATAATATTAATAATAATGATAATAATAATAATATTTATAATAATAAATAATAATAACAAAATATATTATGATAATTATATTTTCTAACATTATTTTATTAATGTTTATGAAAGTGTTATTATTTTAATTTTATAAACATGTATTACTTTATTTTTTTTATATATTTTCACTTTTTGATGTCAATATTTAAATAATAGAATTTTCTTAATATAAAAAAAATATACAATAAAATTTTTAAAAGTTAATTAATAAATTAAAAAAATTGATAAATCATTGACATAAATTAGAATGAAATGAAGATACATTTGTTAATTGTACAAGTTGATTTTTATCACTTAAAAAATTAAGAAATTTTAATATTACAAATTTGGGGTTGCATTTTTACCCATAACAGCCAATTTGGAACGGCCCGTTCTCAACTAGATTTTTAAGCCAATTTACTAGTTTGGAACGGCCCGTTCTAGTTTGGGAACGACCCGTTCTAGACTACTAAATTACCCTTGTTTTAGTAGTTTGGAACGGGTCGTTCCAATTTTGTAACGGTCCGTTCTGGGCACGCCTAGAAGCAAAAATATGTCACCATAATCGATTATGGGCTGACATAATCGATTATGCCTCAGCCCATAATCGATTATGTGCCATGCATAATCGATTATGCTTGCTGGGAGTTCAGTTTTTCACCTCTTTTCAGCTTTTGGGCAGGAGTATTATTGGGTTTTCTCATTTCTTACGTGACTTTCATCTCTTTTCTTCACAACTTCGCGAGGAACGGCCACGCGGGTTCTCTCGCTTTTCTTCACTTTTCTTTCGGTGCAAATTAGCGGAAACAAACATCAACTTTCTTCACCTTTCGTTCGTCGTGAACAGTAAATCCCCTAAAACAAACAGGGGCTTAGTATTTAACGTAAAATCCTAATCCAATTTTAGATAGAATTTGCTGTAGTTAAAACTAGTCTAACTATAATAATATATCCTAGTGGTGAGACAATGTAAAATTCATATAGTGTTAAGTTTAAATCCTAATATCGTTATTATGATTTTGATAAATAAAAAAAATTAACTATAATATGAAAAAAATAAGGTTAGACATAAATTATACTAATCTTACGAACATAGGTTAAGTTTTTTTGTCATCACTAATTTTGATATATAATTAGTATTATAAGAAGAGAACTAAACCATAGAAACTAAATAAATATTTTTTTTTACAAGAAACAAATAATTAATCTGTACCAAAAATAATAAATAATTAAAAATTATTGTGGTGGTCATGACTCATAAATAGCAAATTCCTGACAACTTCTATTCAATTTATATTTATTCATTTGGGTTGTTTTCTTGGGTAGACTCTATGAAATTTCATTTGCTTTCCTAGTATCTTATGGGTAATTGTCCTTTTCCCTCTATTAATTACATGTCTGTTTGAAATTTCTAAGTATAAACTTATCTTTCTTCCTTCGAAGACAAAGCTGGTTGACTTGACTTTCATTATTTCATTCTACTTCTTTGCTTCTTTGCTTGGTTTCTTCCATTATTTCTGGTCCTCACATTCATGATCTACTTAACTACATCTCTTTCTATTCTGGCAACGTTGGTGATGACCCTTTGAGGAACTTTGGCCAATATATATCTGCCAACACTACTCTTATAACAAACTTTGATCAAATATTTTTCTGCAATGTCACCGTTTTCCACTCCATTTCAAACTCCAATCCATTAGGATTTCCTTTCCGGTACACAAAATTCATCTGCCTTTTCTACTTCTATGCTCATTCAGTAGTAATAATATTCATATATTAGTATAGACCACTTAATAAATTTTTGACGTCGTAACTTTTTTATTGTTTTCCATTATCTTGAAAAGTTCACTGTTTTCGTTTATTCTTTTGTGATGGCAGCTTAGATGTAGCCAGCTACTAGAATGGATGATCAGAACGGAATGGGTATTGAATTTGAGACATTCACGTGGAAAATTGAAAATTTCTCAAGACAAAACACCAAGAATCTACGATCAAAGGCTTTTCGAATCCGAGGTTATAAATGGTACATGCAAATGAATTTGAAGTCCAACAATTTTGGGCTATTTACTCTTAGATGGACATAGCCATAGGCTAAGAAAGGATGAAAATAAGCCCAAAACAATTGAATATAAGTTAAGATAGGATCATAATTTTCTATATTCTTTCTTTTTTTGACTCTTTTATTTTGTCTTAATTACTTTTCAGGCGGATTTGTCTATATCCATTAATGAAAAATGTTGATCATTTTTCATTGTATTTGATGGTTGCGGATTCTTTACCACCATATGGATGGAATAGAAATACGTATTTCAAGTTAGCTCTTATTAATCAATTGGATGACAATAAGTCAATTGTAAAGGGTAATATCATTGCATTATTCTTGTTCTTGTTACATGATTTTGTCTTAATACACTAACATATACGAGTAATTATGGTTTCGTCATATAAATTACCATTATTCATTAATCAGTGAAACCACTTTAAGTTCCACTGTAATGATATGAATTTGTAGATCTTATCATAGTCACGCCGTATTTATATGTTGTGTTTACTTTTTATTAATTACTTTAGAAGTAATTATATCATTAATCAATAACCAATTGGAATTGACCATATGTGATTCTAAATTTCTAATTCTTGACATATATTTGTACATTTTCAGAGACACATCAAAAGTTCAATGGTGGATATCGTAGCTGGGGCTCATTTTTCATGAATCTTAATGACTTCTATGACTCTAAACAAGGGTATCTTGTGAACAATACATGCACCATTGAAGCTCATGTTTGTGTCTCCGATCTTAGCACTCTCCAAGCTAACAATTACTTGAACAAAATTATTCCATCCAACGAAACTCAATTAGGTGATCAAGTAGCAAGAAATTCAAAATCCACACAACAGGAAGATGATAAACAGACAGAAACATCATATGAGAGTGATACACTTAGTTCTTCAGCAACCTGTGAGTCTAGTCAAACAGAAGAAGAAGTTCAAGGCTCAGATTTGACACTAAAAGACCTTCTAGATTTGGAGAGTTTAGGAAAAGAAGAAGCATCATTTGTTCCATTGTTGGAGGAGGCATGCATATGGCATCCTTCCCTAATAAGGAGCCAAAGGAAAAGTTCTAGATGGTTCAAACTATGGGCATTTTCATCTTTGGGTCAAGTTCTCCATTTACTCAAGACAAATAAGGTGAAAGATATGGATGAAAATGCGTGCAATCACCTTCAAGGTTTATGGGAGGAACTTGTGAAACACTCTGGATTTCAGTTGTCTTGGTTGGAGCCTTATGTTCAATCTGCTTTGGGTATAAAAGCTCATTTGGAAAAAATAACTGAGATGAATAAACTGAAAAACAGTGTGGTTGATTTGGAAATTAAAATGAAGAAGCTGAGGGAAGAGTTGGCAGCTGCAGAAGTTGAGTTTGAGGCAATAAGGAAAGCTTTGGCCGAAGCAAAAAAAGGTTTCATAGAGATAGATTTGAATGCAGATTTAGGTTATGCCATGTTTTAAACACATTACATGTATAAGACAAATTAGTAAAATATCATTTATAATATACTTTTTTATTGTCATTTAAAATTCATTAAATATTATAAAATTTTGCATATTTAATTTCTTATTTATTGAATAAATTCATTGATTGAATTTTTGCCTCCTTTTTTTTTTTTCTTCAAGGTTCTCTAAGTTCGTTTCCTTGAAAATTATAGAGGAAATGTCCTCTGGATATTTGTTGCTAATACTTCTCTATATATATTAAAAGGAATGCCCTCATGACAAACCCTTGGTTTCATCTTCAAAGTATTACTTTGTCCTAGACAATCTTAAAGTAAGAAAATTACATTAAAAAATATACAAAAAGGATATTTTGAGAAAGAGTAAAACTAACGTGGTAATATAATTTACCCAAAATAAAGAAGAAAAAAAACCTATACCGCTAGATCAAGCATCACCTAACATAATCAAATAGTCAATAAATAACAATATAAATATTCTATCATAAATTAACCATCCATTTAATCCCTAAAATTAAAATAATAAAATAATATATTATTTATTTTTATGTATTAGTCTAAAATAAATTTTAAAGAAAAAGTAGTATTTTGTTTTTTTTTTTTAAATAAAAAGATAGCACATCCTAACTACATAAAAAAATTCATTTTTTATACACTTTTTTTTTCAAACAAACCAGCCTAATAGTTTTGGAACAAATTGATAGTTTATTCCAATCTTTACCAATACAAACAGGAGGGAATGGAACACAGAATTTTAAATGCACCGGATGTCAGAACACCGAACGCTTCAAACAAAAACAAAGACACTATATATTTAGTTATGTGCTGTGTTCGTGCTTCGACTCCGTGCTTCTTGGAATATGAATGACGACGAAAAAGGTGAACTAGAAGATGAAAAACATAGTTCTCCATTGGTTCTTGTATCTACAATACTCTGTATGATAGTAAACCATCAATCGTCTCAACGACCAACCGGTTCATGCGCACTAAAAGCAGCAAATAAGATCTTGTTTTAGGACCTGAACAAACAGACAGCATCAATAAATGTATGGTGGTATACGAAGGATTGTTGGACTATTGCAAGAACATTAGTGTTCTTATGAAATATATTATAAAATAATATTGTCTTCTGTGTAGTGTGACCAACGTATATCAACGGTAAATTGCTATTTTGCAATAGTCGAATCAGATATAAGAGCAAAGATGGTACCGTAAGACTACCTAATTCAAATGAAGTAATTTCATCTTGGTGGAAGTAGCTGCATCCATTGGTATTCTTGCTTAGGCTTGAATTAATCTTATCAACAGCTACCAGTAGATCCTAGGAGATCGAGTTGCACAAAGGACTCAAAAAAATGTCAAATATTGTCAAGTCAAATTATCTTAACAGGTTAGGTAAATAACTGAGTATCAGTTTCTTGTCATACCCTTAGCTAGTCAAAAGATAATTTATCACATATAAATCTTTTTGGATAAATTTTTCAAGAAGTATTTCTATGAGATGAAAATAGGGGGAAAAAAAAACTTTCCTATAAGTTAAAATATAAGCTAATTTATAGAAATTCTCTCCTATTAGTTTCTCCAAAATCTTATTTTTAACTTATGTATAAGTTAATTTTTAACTTATAATTTTATTTTGATTTTCTTTTTCATCCTCTCTTCTAAAAGTATTTATGAAAAAAAATTATCCAAATAGATCCTACGTAAGTATCAATAAAAACAAAAGGCATACCCTTAGCTTGTCAAAAAACAGTTAGTTGCCCCTATCAATGTGGAAGAACCAACATCCCTTGTATATAAACGTGCATAATATTGAATGGCATAAAAAATCTCACCTCCCATGATGCTAAACCCTTCATGTAGCCAGGAAGACATTCAAATTCGCTCTTCGATATCTTTAAGATAGGGCTGGGAATTTCAACTGACTTTGGATTCTCCTTGTCTGATTCTAAATTTTATTTTGGCAACAAAAATATATAAATAAATAACTAGGAATGCCGAAGGTTAAACTCATA